ATTTCTTTGCGAAGGTCCAGCCATTTGCCACAGATTGACTTGTCATTCAAGGTCTCGGTAAATTTTTAAGTGTTTGTAAAAAGCATGTTTTCTCAACTTAATACGTTTCTTTATTTTGCTTTAATCAAGCGACAACTTGAGCTATCAATAGCAAAAAAATTAAGTCAGCCTTGTTTTAAGTTGATTGTGAATGAACCCACAGGTGGGGCATTTGCCATATTCCTGGATCCTTCATCAAGTTAGTAGTTTTAGTGTCCCTACCCCCAGGAATTTAGCATCCAAGATAGAGAAATGTGCAAATGCCAGAGCATTTATCCTGGGGGTCAGGGATGGGCACAACTTGAACTAACCGATATGTATAAATCATTCAAGACCTTTCTTGTGCAATCTTAAAGCTGCCTTTACAAATTTGAAGACATTTTCATTGCTGCCACTCGGTTATGGAATGAAATTGTAGCCGTTCAGCATATCATTTTTAAAAATACATATTTATTGCTTAACTAACACCAGAAAAATAATTGCTTTTCAGACTGGAACATTTACTTCCAAATTCGCCTGTGCCTTTCCAACTCACCAAACTCTGCCTGGTGATCCTGTGCAACAGAAGGATGAAGTGATAATCTAATTTATAGTGGCAAGAACGATCAGTAGTTAGCAATGGATCAAATTTTAGTGGAACCCGTTGATACACCACGGTTAAGCCGTGAAAATGTGGTCGTATTGGCGACTGGTGGCTTTGCATTATTATACTAAGCCTTGCTAAACTATAACAACAAATTAAGCTCAATTCTAACAAGCCTTATTAAATTTAATATATCATCACTTGTGCACTTTGAGCAATTTTCAAGAAAGAGCATTACTGTTTGTCAGATTGATTGCTTTAGTTACTCCCCGGGGCCCCCGGGAGTTATCCTCACCAACGACGCACAATGGGGCACCCAACGACAGTTTTCTCCTAAAAACATTGAAAACACTTTTTAGGCCATCCAGAGTACTTTTAGATCTGTAAAAATACATTCTAAGCGGCGCTATAAGGGAACTTGAGTTTTCTCGAAATTCTAAGGGCTTGAGTATTATTTTCCCAAACATTTTAGATGCAATTTGATGTGTTACGAAAGTGAGATATCTTCTGATTCCTCTCCCCATCACATTTTTTCAATCCGAAAATTTTAGGTTTCCTTTTTTCTACGAAAAATAGCCCAACATAGGGAGTAAAATGTGAAAATTAAACTTCAGAAAATAATAGGGAATAAATTAGATAAGCTTCGAAAAATGTACATGAATGGAAATTTTTAGCCGTCCTCAAGTGCTAAAAAATTCCAGGCAATATTGGTTTCTCCGAACAGATGTTTTACAGGAAACAGTCGTTGGGGGTGTACTCTACGAAAGGGTACCCCTTTCGTATACCTTCTATTGGCAAAAAGAAGCCTGAAACCCAAGAAGAAAAAGTTTAACTTTACTCTTTTCTTTTTATAAGAATGTTGTTTTTCCGGCTCAAGCTGAATATTCTTATCTTTCTGCCAATTTGAGGCTGAAAATATTCCGGTCAATTATTCTTAAGTTATAGCTTCCGACTTTTCCGCTTTAAATGTGTTGGGGTATAAATTGCAACTCAAAATTTTCCCGCCAAAAATATTTCCAGAATAACTGAAAAAAATAAATGCATTGTGCCTTAGAAAATACATTTTTGGCGGCATCCTACCTGGAATGAGATTATAACACCTAAATGTTTATTCTGATTGATATCAGAGAGGGATCAGTTTTCTCTAACAATAGGACTTTGACAGGTAACATGTAACAGGAACAAACTTTTTATTGCTATCAACATCTTCAAGTGAACAGTTTAATTCTCCGTTGGAAAACTTCCACTCTTTTACACCACGAGAATCACGGTTTAATTCTTTCTCGAGCGCCAGCCCAAGGAAACTAAAAAACTTTGAAGCCGCCGAATGCCCACCACCGATTGCTCGAAGGCCAAGAACTGAGGCCCGGTTTATTTCAAACGCTCTGCTCTTCTCGGAAGAATTAAAAACAGAATTTGTCTTGTGCGACGGCCAGCTTTCATTCTCGCACTGGATTCTCCAGGTAGAACCAAGTCCATGCTTAGTCGCTACATTTTCCATGACTTGGACTCTTCCCTGGCAAAATCGACAAGATACAGACTCGTCCAGTTTCTCAAGCAGCTTTTCGCTCAATACGATAGCTCGACCGCTTATTGTTTTCCACGTTCCATCAGCAGATGGGGTCGATGAGCTTAATTGGCTTTCTTCATCTGGTTCTTCAAGCTGGATGTTGGAGCGGCTTGCACTCTCAGCAACTGCAGCATTTTCGCTTTTCTGAATATCCAACTCCTCGAGCCACTTCTCTTGCTGATAAAATGAGCTTTTGTCGCTCTCTGCCAATTTTGCGGCCCATTCTTTGTCAAACTCGCTCTTCGATTTCTTTTTCGCTCTCGGTTTCGATGACGAAAACAGACACGACCTTTTCTTTTTTTTTGGCGGCATTTTCACCGAAGCCAGCGCTAAATATCCACGGAGAATACTAAAGTCTATAAACAACGCGAAGACAATTCGCACGTGTTGTAGTTCACAAGCAAGTTAATTGATATATGACACGGGTATGACAGATCCTGTTAACGATCAAGTAAGATAATTAACGAGAAAAAATCTTTTACCCCCGATATCTTTCGACAGAAATAATATTTTCTACTAATTTTTTTTTTAAAAGAAAGCTCTCAAGCATATCTATTTGAAAACGTTGAAACCTCAAATATAGAAAAATGGCAATTTTAAGGGTGGCTGATACCTTAAGCTACCACTAGGTTGTATGTTATAGCCCACTAGTAGCGAAAAGAGCCGGCTTTGAAAATCAAAACAATGGCGGGTGAATAGCGTTTTGCTAGCTAAAGTTGCTTTGTCTCGATATTTTTTGACCAACTAGTTGGATTTAACTAAAACAATTATTCCTCTCGCGTCGCCCTCATGGCCTCTGAGTCAATAGCCCATAACGCCTCATGAGCTATTGACTCAGAGCCCATTCGAGTTCGAGGAATAATTCAGTAAATAGCTAGACTACGAGTAGTCCCCAATTTTTCCTCAAGGATAATAGAGCGAGCGAAACGCGAGCGCGCGTGAAAATCACCCCACGCGAGAAAAGGCGACACGCGGCGAGGAGAGAGAAAACCGCCTTTTCCCGCGTGGGGTGATTTTCACGCGCGCTCACGTTTCGCTCGCTCTACTATCTCTGAGGAAAAATGGGGACTACTGGTAGTCTAGTAAATAGCCAAGTTATGCTATGATATACTCCCCAAAAAAATTAGAGGGGTTTGTATGGATTTATCAAAAGAAGTTTCACGTTAGTCGACAACCTTGACAGGTGCGACAGGCGACAATTTTCCCGACAAGTTTGACAGGTGACGTCACATCCGATGTTTGAAAAGTCGCATGTGAACAGGAAACTTCTCTCAACATATCATGTCTTATCTGTTTACGCACGTAAAGCCAAATTAAAGATTTACTTTATGTCCGTCTAAACATGAACGTACCAGACCGTAGCCAAGTAATCGGCTCCTTCCGTGGCCTACTTTGACTGGTGCGACTGAGGATGCAGCTTGCTAGCTCGGTCCCAGTCCCCAGCTGTGCAAGTCACAATACCCTACCGGTACCCCTCGGAGGTCTGAGCTTCCCCATTGAGTCCATACCCATCGTCTTCCGTAGGTGATATCTTTCTACGCAAGAGAGGACATTATAAGGGGACTGTGATCTGATCTGGCTTCTAAACTGCCGGGAAAAAGTCAGCTGATAACGTCAACATGCTTCAAAAAAAGCACAAGCACTGCTCGTTTCGCATTATAAGCTATTGTAGGAAGTAAAAAAATCTCTGCATGGGTTTCGTACAGAAATTTGGGTATTTAGTTTCTGAGGTTAGGTAAACAACAAGATCGATTTCCTGATCAATGGAATGATCGAAGGGTCAGTTCTTTGATTGATTGGTTGATTGATTGATTGATTGATTGTTTATATGCCCCCTGAGCAAACAAATTCCAGTACCAGTGATAGCAAAAATGGCCATCGGTGTCTACTTGCTTGGTTGCCTTACTTATGCTACATGTATCCTTTTCCATCAAACAGCAGCAAGATCCTTCACCGTGGACTACAAAAACAATGTCTTCCTCAAAGATGGCGAGCCATTTCGCTATATTTCTGGAAGTATTCACTATTTTAGGGTCCCTCGCGTTTTTTGGCGTGACAGGCTCGAGAAGATGAAAGCCGCAGGGTTAAATGCCATACAGACGTGAGTATTTTTCAACTCAAAAGTCCAATTTCAAGAATAACTTCAAATGTCAGTTTAATAATAATCATAATAACGATATGATATCATGTGCATAACGCACCATCAAAAAGGAGTTTCATGCGTGTTAATAATAGATCAAACAGCCATCAAGAACTAAAGGATTTCGTGTACATATGTGACGAGAAGTTTTGCCCTTCCAGCAACAAATCGGGAAATTAAGCGTAAAGAGAACTCGAGCGACTTCGGCGTAAGGACAACAAGGGGGAAAACTAACTCGCAACTCGCTTGGCAAGCGGGAAAGGAACTCGTCACTATTCCAAGGTACCGGATCTGCTACAACTGGAAACAGTACAGGACTCAAGCTTGGACTTCAACGGTTTAATCTTCGGCTCGTTAACGTAACTTGTACAATCCATTAAATCCGCAATGTAAAATCGACGAGCATATAACTTCGCAATGTAAATCGAAAAACAGGAATAATCAGTGCTCTATTTATACCAACCGATCAACCCACTACAACATCACAAAACAAAAGGAAAGAAGGCTGAATAATATCAGCTGAACAGCGAAAACAAATCTGGATAAATTCAGTTTAAATCTTCATATGTTAAACTAAATAGCTCAAAATTAAATGTCAGTCAAGCAACTGAATTTAGGAAGTTTACAAAGAAAGCTGTGTAAAATAATTCGAGTTTCCTTTTCTCAGGATCCCTCAAAATGTCAAAACTAAAAACTACGAACGGTTTGTATTTGAGCAGGCGAAAGATCTAATTATTCAGTGACTAAGCTGTATAATTATCCAGAAACAAATTATCCTTTTAAAAGTAAACATTGAAGTAAAATGTGTATAATTTAAGGGAACTAAAACAACTCAATGCAAATTCAATGTAAATTACGGCTAACACAACTTCAAAGAGAATATTTAAAAGCTAGATATGAAATTCGAATCAAATAAAGAATACATGGGAAATCTCTCCTTACACTAACATACTCGACGATCCAAACCTTAAAGAATACAAAGGCATTGCATCACATTACTTTGAGAAATTCTCCCATGCAGTCGATGTCTCTATGGAGATATACCGTGGAACTCAATTTTGAGGGAGTTTTCTGCAAATGGCCGATTTTATGTCTTTGGGGTCACTTTGTTGTTAGCCTGCGAACGGCAGACGCATTTCCGGTCGTCGCTTCTCTCCCTCCGAAGAATAGAGAGAAGCGACGACCAGAAATGTGTCCGCTGTTCGCAGGCTACTTTGTTGTAGGTAGCCAAAATACAGGTTGCTGCAAGCAACCTCTTGGGCAGGGTGGGGTGGAGCTCTGACAGACCTACTAGGCGTTGCTTCAATTCAACTTCCCATAAGTTCTCGATCGAAGCAGTCTTTAAAGCAAGCGAAGCGAGCTTTAATGACCGGAGACCGAGCAAGCGACAAGGTCGCGAGGTCAGAAAAAATCTCTCTAAATCAACCAAAAAATATATTAGGGCTTTCAAGAGCCACTTTATAGAGAAAGTCTAGGAAGGACACTAAACTCTGGTCGTCTCGAAAGTTTATTTTAGCTGGCTTTTCCGTCTCATCTGAAACTGTTAGCAGCCCTCAGATGCATGGACCCTGATGGGTCAGGTCGAATGTTAGGGGACATGGAGACGTTTGTCTTAACTTAAACTTACAGGGGTATTTTCATGATACGTGATTAGCTGTTTTTATTTTTCGTGAATTGTGAAGTCAATAAATATCCTTCGTGTTCCGTGACCAAAAGGAAGAGCGTGTCCTTAGAAAAACTGGAATTCATAATCGATATTCGTGATTTCATTACTTATTTTTTTCGTGATTTTCAGTTTCTAGACCTTTCCGGAAGATGAGATTTTGAAAGTGTCAAATGAGAATGATGAGGTGTGGAAATTGCTATTTACATCTTTTTTTTCCTTTTCGCCACTATCAAGCTTTTTTGTCAGACACCTTTCCTGCTCCTTTACTGTTTGCGTTAGAGCAAGATGAAAAACCATACTTTCATGCTGATATCGTCACTTGATTGGGTTTGCAACTAGACTTGCAACAAGCCGACCTCTTTGCAAGATTTGAATACATAGCAAACAGAAAATGAAAATGATAGGCTAATAAAAATATAAATGTCACTAAATTATATAAGTTTATCACGTCTATTTATATAACCACGGCTCTAATGTTTTGTCAGGGTGCAGACAAGAGATAAGATCTGCCGATACAGGAAATTGCGTCGAGATTGTTTTGATAAAGTCGTTGTCATAGACACACTAAAATAGTCAAAATCCGTTAAAAAGGACACTCAGGGGGCCATAGTAAGTGTCCGTATTATCGGGGTGCCTGTATTAAGCGGGTTGAATTGAGAGAAAATGTAAGGGCAACCTCGTTCCCGGAGTTCTCTCCTCTCCGTCCCCACGGAGCGAGCGAGAGAGAACGGGTAAGAGGGAGACCCTGGGAACGAGGTTGATTTAAGTGCTTTTCTCCAAAAGTAAACTGTCTGTAATAATGTGGTGTTCGTTTTAGCTGGGTGTCCGTAAAGGGGGCAGGTGGCGGAGTTTGACAGTACAGCTTACATCTCTCTTGTTGTATGCGTAATGAAAGTAGGACACACAGGCTACCCATATCCTGAAGTACACCACAGGCCAACTTTCCCAGGTTCCTTTCATACTCGTGCCCCTCTCTCTCGCTACGGGGGACGAGTGGCAGAGGACCCTGGAGACAAAGTTGCACCGCAGGCGTATAGACCTTATTCACGATACCCGCCATCTTTACACGCGCTTAAAAACTGACGGGTTAAAAGCAATGTCACGTGGTTTCTCAGGGTGCAGTCAAGCGGATAAAATCTGCCGATACAAGAAATTGCGTCGAGATTGTTTATTCCAGGCAACAAACAATGAAAAACCTCTCCTCCTAAAGAAATGGCAAATTATGTGTGGAAGTTATCATTGCTACTTTTTTATGATGCGGTAGCGACCGTAGATGTTCTCACAGCAAGCGAAAACGGTGATGAAACTTGTCGAAATTCAGGAAACCCGAACTGTAGATTTTGCATGACTAAAATCGTCGTCTCGTGTTGAGAGAATAAACAATTTCGACCGCGATTACTCGTATTGGCAAATTTCGTCTTAATTTCCTTTTAGGAAGCTCCATAAAAAAAAAAGATAAAATAACGGCTGTCGGTACTGGCTGCTCCTTTACTGTAGTGGTTAAGTAAGAAACAAATGTACTAAACTGAGTTCGAGGCTTCCTGGCTGTCAGTTGTTTTTGGACTTTTTCTTTGTTACTTTAAAACAACAAGTAATTAAGGTCTCCTCAGTATGTAAGGATGATGAGTTGTCCGACCTTCATCTGAGTTTGATCTTGTAGACTATACCATACGAAACCATGAAAGGGCTTCGATGGCCTTTCATACTTCTTCCCAATACAATCCTATGGTGTAGTTCGAAACAACGCCGACAGTGTCATGATACACTCAAAAACTTTAATTCAAGTTTTCAAATGGAATGGACTAGACCCAAATAACAGATCGTTAAAAGATCTTACTTCTGTGTTGTCTTCCTCACAGGTACATAGCATGGCAGGTCCACGAGAAAGTTGAAGGACAATATGACTTTGAGGGAGGAAACGATTTTGTTGACTTCACGCAGCTGGCAGGATCTTTGGGGTTGCTGGTAATTATAAGAGCGGGTAGGTTGAAGGAAAAAAAATGATAATACACCTCATATACCTCAGAAAAGGCGCTCGCTGGAATTCGTTAGCAGTATAGCAGAGACCGAGAAGTCCATTTTAAAGTGGAATCTCTTTAGGGTGAAGTGGAGGAGCTGACTTTGAAAACTCTTACTTAGTCCAACTCTCTTCACTTATAAATCTTTTAGTCTCTGTTGTCCCGCTATATGTGCTAATGAAATATTGTTACATATAAATGCTCATTGCTTTCATTAGCTTCTGTATCTTCCATTAAAAAAAGTCTTATCAGAACCATGTGACGCTCTCTCGTCAAAATAGCGCCTGAGGGCACAAAATGCCCGGGCACTAGTGTTCAAGTATCAAGTGTAAACGTAAATAGCCTTATGTGTTTTCCATGAATGTCTTCTTATAGCCATGCGTCTTCTCCGTGCGTCTTCTCTTATAACCACACGTGTTTTTTTAGAGCTATGCGTGCCTCCTTATTGCCGAGCATGTTTTCTTACAGCCATACGTGTTCTTTTTGCAGGCCCTTTTATCGCAGCTGAGCGAGATATGGTAAGCGTGTAACAAAAATTAATATATTTTTCAAACACCTTATTTGAACATTCAAAGGTGCTTTACTTCTATCACGCAATTGCAACAATTATTTTCAGGGTGGATTTCCGCCTTGGTTATTGAAGGACTACACTGTTAACTACATGCCGCGATTCAGAACAATGAAAAACGCCGGTAAGTGGCCACAAATGCTTTTATCATTCAGTTTAATTGGTGTAATAAACTGTTTTGTTCATTTGTGCCTTAGTGGCCGCCACCATTTCTTATTTTCTCACCGCTGCTACAAATTTTTCATGTTGGTTGCCATTCCTCTCCTTTGTTTTTTATCTCTCGCTCTAGCTCTCTGTCGCTCTTTTTCTGGTTGAGCTTCGCTGGCCTGTCGCCTACTTTCTCTTTTTCTCTGTTTTTCTCTTTCTCTATATTCCAAACTTGTGGACGTGATAATTAATCTAAGCTTAATACTTTAGAAACCATGGATACAGAAACTATTTCCGCTTTCCGTTTTCGTCTTTATTGACTCTTCAGTTGTCTCTGCTAAACGAGACGCGGGTGGCTATGCCATTTCCCGCCAAATAAACTCAAGTTGCATTGGGGGCTGGCATACCTGTTGATTGAATTATTTTACATTGGTATGCCTATGGTGCGGACGGACGGACGGATGGTCGAGGGTACGGTCACGTGATTTCCAAAATTTCTCAGATGGGCAGATTACCACATTTCTTAGGTATGGGGCTACGCTCGCGCGCGCTTCGCGCGTACGTGGAGCCCCGCTAATAAATTCACAACACACAACTCCCTGTGGTAAAGTCAGTACCTTACACATGCGCACAGACATATCACATATCACATGGGCATTTCCCACTTTGGAAAGGGGAAGGAAACTGAGCCTTAACTGACTCTCGCAAAGACTTGTGGGACTGTGACTACAGTTGACTCCCGATAACTCGAACCCTCGCTAACTCGAACCTCGCGCTGACTCGAACCAAAATCGATTTCCCCTGGATTTTCGTCATACATTTACTGTAATGTTACCCTCGATAACTCGAACCTCCCGCCAACTCGAAGTAGTTTTTGTTTCCCCTCAGGTCATTTCTATATAATTTTACCCTCGATAACTCGAACCATGTTTTCAGCCCTTAAAAGTCGGGAAAAGACAGCCTACTGGCGTCCCAAACAATGAATTTTGAATTGCCCATTGACGTGTTGTAGGCATATAGTTTACTATTGGAGGCTGATGATGTTTGTCACAAATCTAACGTAAAACAGCTTTACTTCTCAAAACAGTAAAACGCATGCTCTATTTAAGCAAAGTTTTGTTATGTTACGTTCTGATTTATAATCTAGAAGTGTCTTTTAATTTTCACTTGACATTTCTCCAATTAAATGTGATTAAAATGGTCACTATGCGGTAAAAACTGTTTTTTCCTTACTCCTAGCTACTTTTTTGGAGCTCCCGATAACTTGAACCTTTTTGATTTCCCTTGAAGGTTCGAGTAATCGGGAGTCGACTGTACTTCCTAGGGACGGGGGAAAAAATTGGCCAATAGCTGAATGGCGCGTCCCCAGGAACGATCCCAAAAACAACTAGGGGACATTTTTTCGGCTCCGGTTCCCCTCTCGTTTCTAAAGCAGTGGCGAATTGGCTGCCAAGGACAGCTGTTTTTGATGGTTCACTGGCCATACCGCGTTCATTTTAGACTGTAATCACTCCTTTCAGAGGCTTAATTAAATTGTAAATGCTTTATGTATAGTTGAAGTAGACTTAGATATGCTAGCTAGTTTACAGGCACTCCACACAAATCGTTTGAATTAAGTAACACGAAAATATAATGTAAAAGGATTAAAAACCTCCAACAGGTAGGAGGCAAGCAGCAACCTATACACAAACATCATGACCGGATTTGAACTCGGCACGACCGAGGAACAAATCGAGCTAGTGGTCAGAGCGGGACTGGAAACCAGGACCGCTGGATGGCAAGTCACGTGCTGACCAATCGGCCAGGATGGTTTATAGTTGTATCATAACAAATGAAATCCCGTATTTCAATTACCTACACTAGATTTTTTTCGCGACCATCACAGTTGAAGAAGCTGGGGTTATCAAAGAGGTCTGGTTCGCAAACCCTCACATCTTATGAGTAGGGTCGAACAATCTGCCGGACTGAGAAATCTCTTATTTCAAATGTTTCTTTTCAAATGTGTATTTCTCCATTCTCCTTCCTCCTTGTTCTGACAACAAAACAACATGTGTCGTTATTTTCAAATCACTTATCGGTATATTTATATAGTTGGAATGCATTCTCTTCCAATGACGCAATCTGTTTCACTGTTATAACATCATAGCTTATATCGCTGCAGTAGACAGATGGATGGGAGTGCTCCTTCCAAAAATAAAACCTTTGATCTATTCTAATGGTGGACCCGTTATTACGGTTCAGGTGAGAATCAACAACTGGATAAATTATGATCTAAAAGTTACCTAACTGCCTAAGGATTCCTACTACTGTATTATCCTGGGTAGCAGGCGCTTTAGAGGAAATGTTGATGCAAGAAAGAACGGGGCGCACTAGGGGGGGACGCGACGGGGACAAGCGCATGGAAACAATATGTCTCCGTCGCGTGTCCTGTCTTTTCTCGCACCCATATTTCTTCCAAGCGCCTGTTACGCAAGTTACTATACTGTCGGAGTGGACATCAATTACTTAATTGCGTTAGTTTCCGTGATTGTTTTGTCATTGCTTTCAGAGGAAAGAATTAGGGAAAGCTAACGCCAGAAACAGCCACGGTATGTTCCTGGCCTTGGCTTTAAAAAGAAAGCCAAAGACAATCCCGACTAGGACAAGAGAGCAACACAATGCCTCTTCCTGGATGGGATATCAGTGACATATAATACTAGACGCGAAAGCAGCTCTGAAGTTTAAGAACACAAAGCAGAGCAGGCAGACGTAGTAGCAGTAACATAGATTAGCATCCTGTCCGGAGGGGAGAAGTAAAACTCCAAGTTTCTTTAAAGTTTGGCATAAACTAGCTCAAGTCTGATAGTCTCCTATGCAGCCTGTGTGAAAGAGTTCCGTGACGACACAAAGAACGGCGCGTAATTATAAGAGACTAAATGCAAAAGGCAGAATAGCAAAATCTGTGGCAACCAAATTCTTCATTGAATTTGACTTTAAATATCGTGCTTATATTAGTTACCAATCCTTGATACAATACCCTGATTGTGAAAAGACTGAAAGACGAGCACAGCTTTCTTGAAAACGATAGCACTCTGAGGTCTGAGGTCAGAATGACGGAGATGGTCTTTTCCTCTTATGAGAAAATTTCTTATTTGGCTCTCGTCTTTAGGTAGAAAATGAATATGGATCCATGGAGCAGTGTGATCATCAGTACATGGCTCACTTGAAAGATCTCTTTGTAAAATATCTTGGCAACGATGTCGTTCTCTTTACAAACAATGGTTGTACTGACAGAATGTTCGAGTGCGGAACCCTGCAGGGGATGTTATCAACGGTGGACGCCGGCGGTGGTAAAATGTGCATAAAACGTACTCCCAAACAAAGTACCGTAAAATTCCGAAAATTAGCCCCTCCATGTAATATAAGCCCCGCAAACTCGTAACGCAAAAACCCTCCGTTAAATCGCCCCTCCAAATATAAGCCCCCGAGGGGCTTGTACTCGGAAATTGCCCTCAAATACAAAGTAAAACAAAGAAAAAACGGTAAATTTCCTTCCATTTATAAGGCTAGCCCAATCGATTTTGAATCGCGCGCGCTTCGCGCGTACGTGGAGCCCCGCTAATAAATTCACAACACACAACTCCCTGTGGTAAAGTCAGTACCTTACACATGCGCACAGACATATCACATATCACATGGGCATTTCCCACTTTGGAAAGGGGAAGGAAACTGAGCCTTAACTGACTCTCGCAAAGACTTGTGGGACTGTGACTACAGTTGACTCCCGATAACTCGAACCCTCGCTAACTCGAACCTCGCGCTGACTCGAACCAAAATCGATTTCCCCTGGATTTTCGTCATACATTTACTGTAATGTTACCCTCGATAACTCGAACCTCCCGCCAACTCGAAGTAGTTTTTGTTTCCCCTCAGGTCATTTCTATATAATTTTACCCTCGATAACTCGAACCATGTTTTCAGCCCTTAAAAGTCGGGAAAAGACAGCCTACTGGCGTCCCAAACAATGAATTTTGAATTGCCCATTGACGTGTTGTAGGCATATAGTTTACTATTGGAGGCTGATGATGTTTGTCACAAATCTAACGTAAAACAGCTTTACTTCTCAAAACAGTAAAACGCATGCTCTATTTAAGCAAAGTTTTGTTATGTTACGTTCTGATTTATAATCTAGAAGTGTCTTTTAATTTTCACTTGACATTTCTCCAATTAAATGTGATTAAAATGGTCACTATGCGGTAAAAACTGTTTTTTCCTTACTCCTAGCTACTTTTTTGGAGCTCCCGATAACTTGAACCTTTTTGATTTCCCTTGAAGGTTCGAGTAATCGGGAGTCGACTGTACTTCCTAGGGACGGGGGAAAAAATTGGCCAATAGCTGAATGGCGCGTCCCCAGGAACGATCCCAAAAACAACTAGGGGACATTTTTTCGGCTCCGGTTCCCCTCTCGTTTCTAAAGCAGTGGCGAATTGGCTGCCAAGGACAGCTGTTTTTGATGGTTCACTGGCCATACCGCGTTCATTTTAGACTGTAATCACTCCTTTCAGAGGCTTAATTAAATTGTAAATGCTTTATGTATAGTTGAAGTAGACTTAGATATGCTAGCTAGTTTACAGGCACTCCACACAAATCGTTTGAATTAAGTAACACGAAAATATAATGTAAAAGGATTAAAAACCTCCAACAGGTAGGAGGCAAGCAGCAACCTATACACAAACATCATGACCGGATTTGAACTCGGCACGACCGAGGAACAAATCGAGCTAGTGGTCAGAGCGGGACTGGAAACCAGGACCGCTGGATGGCAAGTCACGTGCTGACCAATCGGCCAGGATGGTTTATAGTTGTATCATAACAAATGAAATCCCGTATTTCAATTACCTACACTAGATTTTTTTCGCGACCATCACAGTTGAAGAAGCTGGGGTTATCAAAGAGGTCTGGTTCGCAAACCCTCACATCTTATGAGTAGGGTCGAACAATCTGCCGGACTGAGAAATCTCTTATTTCAAATGTTTCTTTTCAAATGTGTATTTCTCCATTCTCCTTCCTCCTTGTTCTGACAACAAAACAACATGTGTCGTTATTTTCAAATCACTTATCGGTATATTTATATAGTTGGAATGCATTCTCTTCCAATGACGCAATCTGTTTCACTGTTATAACATCATAGCTTATATCGCTGCAGTAGACAGATGGATGGGAGTGCTCCTTCCAAAAATAAAACCTTTGATCTATTCTAATGGTGGACCCGTTATTACGGTTCAGGTGAGAATCAACAACTGGATAAATTATGATCTAAAAGTTACCTAACTGCCTAAGGATTCCTACTACTGTATTATCCTGGGTAGCAGGCGCTTTAGAGGAAATGTTGATGCAAGAAAGAACGGGGCGCACTAGGGGGGGACGCGACGGGGACAAGCGCATGGAAACAATATGTCTCCGTCGCGTGTCCTGTCTTTTCTCGCACCCATATTTCTTCCAAGCGCCTGTTACGCAAGTTACTATACTGTCGGAGTGGACATCAATTACTTAATTGCGTTAGTTTCCGTGATTGTTTTGTCATTGCTTTCAGAGGAAAGAATTAGGGAAAGCTAACGCCAGAAACAGCCACGGTATGTTCCTGGCCTTGGCTTTAAAAAGAAAGCCAAAGACAATCCCGACTAGGACAAGAGAGCAACACAATGCCTCTTCCTGGATGGGATATCAGTGACATATAATACTAGACGCGAAAGCAGCTCTGAAGTTTAAGAACACAAAGCAGAGCAGGCAGACGTAGTAGCAGTAACATAGATTAGCATCCTGTCCGGAGGGGAGAAGTAAAACTCCAAGTTTCTTTAAAGTTTGGCATAAACTAGCTCAAGTCTGATAGTCTCCTATGCAGCCTGTGTGAAAGAGTTCCGTGACGACACAAAGAACGGCGCGTAATTATAAGAGACTAAATGCAAAAGGCAGAATAGCAAAATCTGTGGCAACCAAATTCTTCATTGAATTTGACTTTAAATATCGTGCTTATATTAGTTACCAATCCTTGATACAATACCCTGATTGTGAAAAGACTGAAAGACGAGCACAGCTTTCTTGAAAACGATAGCACTCTGAGGTCTGAGGTCAGAATGACGGAGATGGTCTTTTCCTCTTATGAGAAAATTTCTTATTTGGCTCTCGTCTTTAGGTAGAAAATGAATATGGATCCATGGAGCAGTGTGATCATCAGTACATGGCTCACTTGAAAGATCTCTTTGTAAAATATCTTGGCAACGATGTCGTTCTCTTTACAAACAATGGTTGTACTGACAGAATGTTCGAGTGCGGAACCCTGCAGGGGATGTTATCAACGGTGGACGCCGGCGGTGGTAAAATGTGCATAAAACGTACTCCCAAACAAAGTACCGTAAAATTCCGAAAATTAGCCCCTCCATGTAATATAAGCCCCGCAAACTCGTAACGCAAAAACCCTCCGTTAAATCGCCCCTCCAAATATAAGCCCCCGAGGGGCTTGTACTCGGAAATTGCCCTCAAATACAAAGTAAAACAAAGAAAAAACGGTAAATTTCCTTCCATTTATAAGGCTAGCCCAATCGATTTTGAAACGCAAATTTCCCTCCGTAGATAAGCCCCTCCGAATATACACCCCTCCAAAACTAAGCCCCTCAAAAAGGGCCTTTGAAAAATATAAGCCCCGGGGCTTATTTTCGGAATTTTACGGTATTTTTTTCCTTTCGCAGTGATACAGCTAGTTCGTACTTAACCTCTTCCGGTCCTGCACAGTTTGTGGAGACGAGGTAGCCGCGCCTGTAACGCCTTTAACTTCGCATATGTAGGTCTATATTCACGCCTGCCTTTGATGAGATTCCTTGGACAAGAAACTTTCCTGTAGTTTGTCACGTGTACAGTTGGATACCGACAACAAACTGTTGGGGGTACCGTATTTATTCGATTAAATGCCGCGGGGCTTATTAAATTTTTAGCGTTTCCAATGCGGCGTTTATTTCGAAATCACAGTTATTGTAAATCGGTTGTAAATATTATGTAATATTTAAAGGTTCGAGTGTCTCTTTTATTTTCCTGAGATAGAATTGTAAATGTCTGAATGGCATAAATTACCAGTTTACACGTTTTCCTCGAGTAAACGCGCATTCATCTGATTAGGTGCAGCGTTTATTCGCGGGCAGCATGTATTGGTAATTTTGCTTCCATCTGCGGCGTTTCTTCGAGGGCGGCGTTTAATCGAATAAATACGGTAACCCTACGATGGACTACCATCCCATCAAAAGAGGAGATAGGAATACTCCTTAATAGGAAGCGAAAACGTTACTTTCAGTAACTTCGCGGTTTTTGAAACTTCAGCGCGATTATCCCAACTCGCTCACTTTCTCAAACCACTAAGCTACAGGAGACTCGTGGGAAGTGAGGCTGCAATGGGCTCTGAGTCCCTAATAACTCTATCTAATAACTCAGAGGCCATGAGGGCAAGAGGAATAATTATTTTAGTAAAATCCAACTAGTTGGTCAAAAATAGACTTTAATCCTTTTTTGCCGCCAAAAAGCCGGTGCTTTTCGCTACTAGTGGGCTATAACAACTAGCCTAGTAGTAGCTTAATCAATCAGAACGCAGCATTGATAATAGCTATAGACCACTAGTTGGATTTTACTAATAAACTATATTCCTGTGACAAACATTCTGCATAATGCTAGACCTGGAATGTCGATTGACATATGCTTATGCATAATGATAGAAATGTGATGGTTAATTTTTAGCCTGGTGAATATATGAGAAAGATGTTTTTGTTTTGTTTTTTTCAATCAGAGACACCTAAGGCGGTTCGCTAGAAAAAAAATTCCGAGTTCTTACAAAATCGAGGATATCATCTGATACTGGAAAACTTCCTACAATCATTGAAGGGTCACTCACTTAATTAGCAATTAATGAATGAGGCTCAGCAGGTTATGAAGAATTATGCTGATCGAGGAGGGCGTAATCCACCGAGGCCGATTGCCGAGGTGGATAACACCCTCCGAGATCTGCAAAATACTTTATATCCTACCAAAGCCGAATTCATTAATTGCTTTATTATTCATTCAAAATAATTCCTAGTTTGAAAACAAGCTAAAATATGCTTCCCTTCGTCGAAGTTAGGTTCACCTCGACAGTGCATGTTTAGAAGATAAAGGCTGTTCAGGTCTGCAAATATACTCCAAATAGCAGACGTTGTCTGTCGAGTTGTGTGCCACAACAACTCAACCTCGTCCTCAAGTCTTCAAGATTAACGGTTCATTAACCTGCAACTGTGCCGCACTTTTGACGTCATCGGTTGATTAATCGCAAAATTCTTCCAAATTTGGTCAACAGTAGCTAGTTATGGTCAATTATGCGCGAGCTTAAAGCCAATCAGAAACTGAGAAATATTTTGAATGAATAATCATTAACAATTAATGAATGAGGCAGAGTATCTTATGAAGAAGTATGGAGATCTCGGAGGGTGTTATCCGTCGAGGCCGTAGGCCGAGGCGGATAACACCTTCCAAGATCTCCATAATTCTTCATATGGTACGAAAGCCGAATTCAATAATTGTTGTATTATTCATTCAAAATAATTCCTAGTTTAAAAACATAGCTTAAACATGTTTACCTCCATCTATGTTAAGTTCATCGTCGATAGTGCACGATTAGGGTTGTTCAGCCCCCAAATATTCTCCAAATAGCAGATGTCGCCCCTCGAATTGTCGTCTTGCTGTTCTTGCCATGTTTTTAGCTATTATCTCGCCTAGTTCTTACTCTTGAAACGAGTGAATTGTCCGCCATTTTTGTTTTCACAACCAAAACAACTCAACCTCGTCCCCAGGTCTTCTCGGTTAACGGCGCATTAACCTGCAATGAAGCCGCACTTTTGACGTCATCGGTTGATTAATCGCAAAATTCTTCCAAATTTTGTCATCAGTAGCTGGTTATGGTGAATTATGCGTGTGCTTTTAGCCAATCAGAATCGGGGAAATATTTTGAATGAGTAATACTGATCTGTTTATGTCCTCGCTTGAGTGCATAGCTTTAGAAGTATAAATCTTCCCTTACTATGCACTAGTTAAAAAATATAACAGGATAGCTTCAGGATGATGGTAAACTCTGAAACTGTCTAAATATTTATTATTATTATTACTATTATTATTATTATTTTCATTATTATGTCGCAGTATAAAACTTTGGAATGCTGTCCACATTACGAGTAGTATAGGGCGCATAACGTAACCTACACCACTTGAGAAGCTATGGTTAGAAGTAAAAAAAGGTCGGTACAAAACCTAATACGATCCTAATATACATAATGATATGAATCTCTCTACTTAAAAAGCCAATTTAGAATATTATTAAATTCTTATACTGTACTTATACTAAGACATGATAATATAATTATCTCTACTAGAAGCATATTTAGAAAATTGTTATTATTATTATTGTTATTATTATTATTATTATTATTATTATTATTATTATTATATTATCATCATTATTATTATTTATTTATTTATTTATCTATTTTTTTAGGAGAGAAGAATGTGGAGAAATGCTTTGAAACCCAGCGTTCGTTTAAACTTATGGGCCCCCTGGTTGACACTGAATTTTACCCAGGCTGGATCGACAATTGGGGTGTGAAATTCCAGCACCGAGACGCTGAGGTTATCGCCAACGATCTCGATACTTTGCTGAGCGCCAACTACTCTGTAAACGTGTACGTGTTTCATGGCGGGACGAATTTTGGATTCATGAATGGTAATCTGTTCAAATCCTGATCAAACCCACCTATAAGCACCATAAACAGTGGTATTCTTTACACTAGAACCTAAATAAGCTAAGAAATATTTCGAGACAATTAAATTCGAAATTCTTCAAGTAAAATTAAGCTTCACTTAGAACTTAAAGCTTTTTTCCCACGCAACATAATTAAGATTGATCGACATGATTTGCCTTTCTCAAAGCTCAAGAAACCGGAAGTTGCTAAGTCAGTTGTAAGGATGGTTTTCAAGTCACTTGAAACTTTCTTGAATCGTTTCAACTTTCCGACTTTAATGAGATGCAAAGTAAAATAACTTGAGATTCCACTTAAGCCTTCACTCACATATCTTTGTTTAAGTAATAACTTAGTCTTACTTAACGACCTAGTGTAAAGACAACCAGTGACTAGTGTGTTTTTTGTTGGCTTTAATATCTAAATACTACGAAACCTCGCCTTGGGAAAATTGCGCTGGCCTCTGAATAACCTGTGTAAGCGTGAAGTTCATTCTAGGTTTTGTCAAGTCGGCAGTAACAAAATTTTGCTGACAGTGTCAATTCTAGAGCTTCGGTTGTAGTTGCTCTGTGTGATTTAATTCTGTCCAAAATTTAGAGCGACATTGTGCAACCTTTTGGCACATCATATAAAAAAGCCTTGTTAAATGGAAAGGTTGACAAAATTTTTCCGTGACAAAAAAAAGACTTTAAAGATTTTCCATTTACACGACCAAAGAAATCTAGCCAATTGAGGGTCATTAAATGAGGCCAGAGGGTTGGAGCAACTCATTTATAGAGCCGAGACTAATCATTGAAGAGTGCGCTTTGTTTTAGATTTACTTTTGATTGGTGGAAAAAAAATGGCAGGATAGCCTGCTTTAGCCAGTCATCACAAGGCTCAATACCAAAAATCAAGTCAAGAGTACATCTCTATTGGCTAGATATCTTTCGTCGAGGAAATGGGAAATCTTATTCAAATGTATAATCGTGATGATTTCATCGCAGAAACTGTCTTTATCAGGTGCTAATTTCTACCACGGCTATAAGCCTCAGATAACCAGCTACGACTATGACGCCCCTATCAGTGAATCAGGAGAGCTTACAAAGAAGTACTTTGCTATGAGGGAAGTGATATTAAAACATCGGGGTCTACCGCCTCTACCTGATCCTGTATCCACACCGAAACAAAGCTATGGAAACATCTACATGACCAAGGTAAAGACTCACTTTAATCTTTACTTCAAATGGGACAAAACAGATTGTGTAGTTTGAAAAACAAATGGTACCAAGTTAAATTAGTACCGGTAAGGTTTGCATTAAAGGGTCACTCACACATTAGTAAATTCTAAATTCTTCGAGGCAAAGAAACTCGTCTTCTGTTCACTCTGTTATCAGGGAAAAAAGAAAAAGGACTGAAATAGAAATAACACAATAAATCCAATAAATACTAGAAAATATAATTGTAAAAGCCACTAGGTATACTTATGCAAGAGTTTGTCACACATAAGTATACCTAGTGGCTTGTACAATTATATTTTCTAGTATTTATAGGATTTATTGTATTATATTTTTGTAAATAGCTCTGTAATTCAGCCATTCTGTATATTGCTGCAATGAGTCTTAATAAACAGTCATTATTTATTATAATAATTAATTCTGCATACCGTAAACCTCAGCCTATAAGCCTGGGGCTTACATAACTTCGTAAGGGGCATTAGGAAGTCTCATAACCGGACTTTCCAAACGCATTTCAAAACAAGCTATATAGCAGTGACGATCAAAATGTGTTTTGAATTAACTGGCTTTTTAAGCTTCAAAACGTTGTACAATATTGAACTCATTTCAGAACAAGCTACAGGGGGTCCTGCATCCGGGGACTTAAAACTTGATGAATTTTTTTGTTTACAAGACAAGAGACAAGACAGTGCTTTATTTGGAGTCTTATACAGTCCTATGTACATCGACTTTATCCAAATAATTTAAAATCATAACACAAATTTCACACAAGTGGAACTATAATCAATATTAACCTAACGAACTAATGATCTTCTTTTGTCATAGCAGTTAGAGAGATACAGGTAGATGGGCCTATACCTGTGGGAGGGGAGGGCTCATGATTTGAGGGGTTTATAAGGGGAAGATTACGGTATTATGAGTAAACTGTATTGAATTTCTTTTCGCATTTTGAGCGTATTCGTCTCTTTGGGCTTATTTTCTGGTAAAGAGTCCGCCTGATATTTTCGCAGGCGGCCTACTTATTAGATGTTGTCCACAGTCTTTCTCCTTTTGGACCAATCAAAACCGTTCTTCCTAAGACCATGGAAAGTGTTGGACAAAACTACGGCTTCCTACTTTACCGCACCCAGATTCCTCAAAAGTTTGCAAATACAAATGTAGAACTGGAAATTCTCGGACTACGAGATCGCGGAATTATTCTGGTTGGCCAGGTAAGAGAGTTATTTTTGTTTACGATTTGTGAGAGCTTGAAAGAGCTCTCACATCAAGCTCGTACAATGGGTAGGAGAGAACCCTGGGAACGAGGTTGCTCTCACATCGCCATTTTGGAAACAAGAGGGAAACTGGGCCGAGTTAACTGGCTTTCGAAAAGACTTCTGGGGTTGTTACTAAGGCCAGGGAAAAATTTCGGCCATTTCCGAGTTATCCAGAGCTTCTGTTTGAAAGCGAGGCTGAGTGCAAAGCCATTGATATGAAAATGATTCTTTTATTCTTATGCGAATAAGACTCATTTTCAACAAGAAAGGTTTCGCATCTAGCCTCGTTTTGAAAGGGAGTTTGGAGAACTCGAAAATGACCTATTGGCCAATAGGAGCTTCTGTCCGGCGCGTCCCCAGTAACCATCCAGGAAACAATTGCGCGACGCATATCGTGTCCAGTTCTCTTCTCGTTTTTAAAGTACCGAATTGCGATGTGGACGGTACTGAGAACACGTAAACGCCTGTTTTAAACTTTATTTCATCTTACTGTCGTTCACTGCAAAACAATATTATATAAATGTCAAATTATCAACATTAGGTTTTTGAGACAAACATAAATGCACCAGAAACATTAATTTAGATTTCTCGACCTACGAAATTGCAACGGATGAGACTCATTCTTACACAAAAAAATTCAGGTTTCAAGATGGAAGACGCAGGTGACAGCGAGATTGTAACAAAATATTGATAAATGATAGTCAGTTTGTTTGACTGAATTAGTTTTGATTGTTTACTTTGACTGTTTATCTTGGTAAGGAAGGGGAAAAGCGCTAACAAGCAGTGAAAAGAAAACGATGGTTTATGGGTGGTTTCGTTTTCTGGTTTTATTCCTAAGATTTACAGTTTTAATACGCCACATTGAGAGGTTCAATCAGCGAGAAACACTGTAAGCCTTAGAATATCCACTTTACCTATCTTTGAAAATGAAGAAATGATCGTCACAGTGAACGCAATTTATGCAATTGCGTAAAGAAGCCTGATAGATAGCTCAGTTGGTAGAGCATCGCAGCGGTAAATCGCGAGGTCACAGGTTCAAACCCCGTTGAAGTCCTGAATTTTTTTTCAGGCTTCTTTACGCAACTGCGTAAATTGCGTTCACTGCGACGATCATTTCTTCATTTTCATTTCATTTCCGCAGTTCATATATGATTTATTTCATATATCATTACCTATCTTTGTCATTTAGATCTGCGTAAGCTTTACTGACGAAATCTTTGGAGTCTTTTTTGGTTTGAAGTACGTTAGCAAGGGAAAAAAATAGTTTTTGAAGATGAGTGAGATAACAGTGATCGGGAACCTCCCTATTCATCCTTCGAAGGAGGTCATTAAACGAGACGTGCAAGTTTGCAGAGGATTTCATGTATTTCTTTTAATGTTTTTGCCTTTACACATAGGAACGCAAGGCTACTTTGAGTCGTGCAAGCTTCAATAGAACGTCCTTCAACCTAGCAGACAATCTAACACTGAACATCCTGGTAGAGAATCAAGGACATATAACAGGAGGCTCAGACATGCAGGATCCCAAAGGAATCCTTGGAAATGTGACCATAAACAAGGAAATTCTTGTCGACTGGGAAATGTATACATTGGACCTACATAGTTCTCAAGGGTGGGGTGAGGCTTTTAAGAACGATAACACAGGGACAGCAAGTGACCTTCTGTCCGACTTACCCACGTTTTATCATGGCTTTTTCAATATATCCTCCGATGGTAACCCAGGAGACACTTTTCTGAAGTTTCAAAATTGGCATAAGGTAATATACGCTGGTATGCTTCTTGATTATATTTTCTTCTATGCGCGAGAGCAGAGGAGACTTGTTTCTATAGTGANTTTGCCTTTACACATAGGAACGCAAGGCTACTTTGAGTCGTGCAAGCTTCAATAGAACGTCCTTCAACCTAGCAGACAATCTAACACTGAACATCCTGGTAGAGAATCAAGGACATATAACAGGAGGCTCAGACATGCAGGATCCCAAAGGAATCCTTGGAAATGTGACCATAAACAAGGAAATTCTTGTCGACTGGGAAATGTATACATTGGACCTACATAGTTCTCAAGGGTGGGGTGAGGCTTTTAAGAACGATAACACAGGGACAGCAAGTGACCTTCTGTCCGACTTACCCACGTTTTATCATGGCTTTTTCAATATATCCTCCGATGGTAACCCAGGAGACACTTTTCTGAAGTTTCAAAATTGGCATAAGGTAATATACGCTGGTATGCTTCTTGATTATATTTTCTTCTATGCGCGAGAGCAGAGGAGACTTGTTTCTATAGTGATCGACTAATGACGTTAACTTGAAGGCGCGCATCCACATTGGTTACCAACTTTTTACGCAAATCGTAGTAAATATATTTTAATAAAAAAAAACTTTCCAAGTTGAAATCTGGTATATAGTCTGGACTCGCTTTGTTCCGTATCCACTATAACATGGAAATTGACCTTGATGAAATAATCCGCTGATTTGCTTCAAAAGAACGGAACTGGCCAATATCCTGTGTGAATGAGTCAAAAAATACAGGGAAGGGGACTTTAGGGAGTTAAAATCCCCCAAAAACTTAGGGAGCATGCTCTCGGACCCCCTCAGAAGATTGCGCCTTCGGCGCTCGTTTAGAAAATCGGTCAGTATTTATCCTGGATCCGCGCCTAACTTGACAGACTCTACTCTCTTGACAGGCTGCTATTTTGGTGCCCCATGTGACAATACTCAATACTCAGTATTTTATTAAGAATTAGACGTTTTCAAGATTGATATCGACACAGACAACAGCTGCATAGGAGACTAGGTCTATTTAATATCTCAGCGAACCACAATTGCCCAGGTCAACATTCTAAACCGGGTCACTTCTGATAATTTGTCATTTTAGGGTCAGCTGTACGTCAATGGCTTTAATCTGGGTCGTTACTGGCCCGTGAAGGGTCCTCAACAGACACTTTACGTCCCTGGCTCATTGTTGTCTGCTGGAAAGCCAAATGAAGTGATTCTCTTGGA